CCTCGCCGCGGCAGTTCCGAAGGGTGTCTTTAGGTCCCAGCTATCGAAATAGTCATTCTTGCCTACAACAACCCTGTGAGCGATTTCTGCTAGGAGTTGAGGCCCTTTTTGTATGCATCTTCCCACTAATGGGTTTCAGAATTTCAGATGTGGTGCGTTGAAGATATCAGCAATTGAGGCAAATCCAACACTTTACCAGATGGCCAAAAGAATCCTCGCTCTCAATGGAGTGGCTAATGTGAAGGTCATACACGAGTATTCGTACGAATATGATCCTGAAGAAGACGAGTTGGTGAGTAATGAATATGTGGTTGCCAGCTTTTTATTAAACTAAAGGGTCAATGTGTTCTGTACACTTTTCCCTCCAAAGATTTCCGCTCAGAATGAGTACTTTAGGCAGATGTGGTTGTATCAGAGATACTCGATTGTTGTGCTTTTGGTGAGGGAGTGATTCCAGCGTTCCTTGACGCTCACCTCAGGCTTACGAAAAACACAGCCCGATTCATACCTTCTAACGTGAGTTGCTTCGATGGTGCGTTCATACATCGTGTCGAATCGCTCGAGCGTTTTAGTAGCGCGATTGCGAGGTATGAACGCGATCTTACAGTTTTCGCTTGCTTAGTCCAACCCCACATGTGTAGGTGGCTCTGTTCGCGACGTTGTTAGAGTCGCCTTCGATCTACCTCACTCATTCGTTCACTTCCCCTTCCGGCAAAGAGTATCGGTCCGAATATGTGCCGTGTAATGGACAAAGTGAGTAATTTACTTGCTCTGTTGGGGTGTTTTTGATTTTTTATTTCCCACCTGATCTTTTATTCCCCAACTGATCTTTGCTTAGTACTTGCGTTACCAGCAAGATCATTTTTTATTGCTCAGGGGTAGAACAGAGGGTGTAGTACAAATATCCGATCACGTTGTTATTTAGAACCAAATGAGCCATACTGGGTTGTACGAGTGTCAGACTTGCCAGATGCAAAGCAGCTCTCAACACCCAGGGAGGTGCTCATGGTGGACTTTCAGAACGTCAATGAGCTCCATCGCTACGTGTTTGGTCACAATGGCGTTATTGAGGTGCAGTTATACCTATCTTTGTACAAGTTGCCTCTTGTATCATAGACTTAACTGTATGGCTATGGTGTTGCGGTTTTCCAGATTTCTCCCACTTGCTCCGGAACGCTCCACGCAATAGCAGTTCATTTCAAGTAAGTGCATTTTCAGCGGATTTCCATTGGTGCAGCTGCAGGGGAGACGGACAAGACAATCGTGAATTGCTGCGCTGTCGCGCGCGGCACATCTCGCCCACGTAGCAGGACAACTCGCGCTGCGAAAGCTGTCGCTCGCCACGCGTATCGGCGCGGCATGTCACGATTGTCTCGCCTCATACTCCAAGCCTCGTGTGGCCCCCATCAACCGCGATAGCGCCTGCAGTTCGAATGTTGAAAGAATTTTCTCTCCAGGGCTTTGATATGGGGAGATCAGTATATCGATACATCCAAGAGCACTTGCTGGGAGCAAGGTATATTCCCTCTACCGTATCCAATGCGGGTAAGTTTTTTTAAGAACTTTTTCGTGGATGATATCGACAGAACGTGTTGCCATTTACACTTTTTTCAGGTTAACCAAGGTGATGTGGTAGTTTTGAAGTGGTCTCTGAAGAGAACCAGATTCGATATTACAGTGGATTATATTGCGAATTCCGAAGGTTTGCAGATGGCTAATTCTCAGGTTTGTAGAGTTTCTCGGTCTCGGTAATGGTCGTTTAGTAAAAATTGTACCAATGAGGACTCTGTGGTTGGCTGTAACCGGGAGACGGTCAAGACAATCGTAATTTACCGCCTTGCCGCGAGCGGCGACGGATGCGGTGTTTTCTTGATTTGCTTAACACTGCCGATTGGAGCATCGTGGCGTCGCACGCGACACTTACCAGCGCGGCAAATTACGATTGTCTTGTTACATACCCCTTTAACCCAGAAATCAAATACCTCACTTGTTCAGGCACTTCCCAATCGCGAGGTGATTTTGCGAAGTCAGCTTGACTACCGTACGATGAATAACGATATGCTGCTTTTCGCGATCACTCGACTTCTACCTTCCATTAGCAGATACTCTTGGAATTTGGATGGAGAACTCAGCGCCGAAGAACTCGGAGTTGTGAGGTTGGTGACAAAAAAAGGTTACCTTTAAGGCCTAACTACTCTGTTTTGTTGTAGATACCTGCCACACTTTTTGATAGATGCGAAGGATATCAATGGGACAAGCGATACAGAGGTGGATGAAGGTTACGGTCAGGGTTGTATATTTAACATCTGGTGCTGCTCAGGATGAGAGTTCTGATCTCAAATTGTTTTGAATGATATTTTTAGGTGACCAGTGTGTTGTGGTGTGGCCAATACGGGGTGATGGATCGGTTAGTGAAGTGTTTTTGAATCTGCTCCGGTCTTTACGGGCGAGAGATGATATTCCGCCTTCGCTGAAGCATTGTGGATATCTTACCGGTGAGTTAAACGAGCACTAGGATAATTGTCTGCTATCTTGAGACACTGAGAGGCACTATTCAACTCTTGCAAGTGTAGCGGCAAGTGGTACCAGGTGACGTCCTGCCGCTGGGAAAATTTTTGCAAATTAGACAGTTTCCCCTCGAAATTTCCACCCTCTGATTAGATC